TTGAACTGAAGCCTGTCAAATTACAAAATTGCATATCAAATAAATTACAAATTATTTGATTCATTAATAAATAAAGTTACTATAAAATCACACAATTAACTAATCAAATTACTGTGATATTAAATAAAGCCTTAATTGTAAGGGTAAATTGCCTTTCTTTTTTTCTAACTCTACAAAATCTGTACGTGTCCAGTGTGACATATGTATTTATAATTACATCGTATATAACAGCGGTCCCCAACCCCCGGGCCTCAGACTGGTACCGGTCCGTGAGTCGTTTGGTACCGGGCCGCGAGAGTTGAGGCTCAGGTGTGAAATGTATGATTTTCAGGGTTTTTATCGGTTTTCAGTGTTATTTTGTTATCGTTTTGATCGTTAACTCGGTTTTTCTGGGTCTTTTCACATGTGTTATGAATAAATCTTCTTTTTTCCGGTACTGTACTAGTTTTTGTTGTATTTATCCACGACACATTAAAGGCCGGTCCATGAAAATATTGTCGGGCATAAACCAGTCCGTGGCGCAAAAAAGGTTGGAGACCGCTGGTATATAACACAGCACAGCATAGCAGGCAGTTGTAGTTAATCTTTATATCAGCATATAAATGCTAGCACATAATAGCACGCCAAAATAGTTACATTCAGTCTGTATTTAAGCTCCTTGTTAGATGTTGATTAATCATGATCTTTTATGATAAATAAGTGTTTCTTATCTCCAAAAGTTGATTCTGTTCATCTGGACGTAGCGTTATGAGTGACAAAACGTTTCTCCCACAAAACGCTACATCCAGATGAACAGAATCAACTTTTGGAGATTTACTTTCCTGGATGGTTGAGAATGCATCAAGAAGTGTTTCTTATCTTTCTTATTGCATCCCAAACAAACAGGCATGTTTGATCATGTTTTTTTCAGCCATTACTTCTTTATTGTGTAGTTTTTGCTGTGCTGCGTATGTGTAGCTGTTGTTGGTGTATACTGATCATGTGAGTGCAAATGTAAACCTTGTATTTCTAAACTAGGGAAGGACTCAGTGCATCAAAAGGTGGCATCTGCCCTGCTGAAGTATCATTAAGCAAAACCTCCTGCACTGTGACCCCTGACCTCTTCTTGGAGAGTGCACCATGAATGCTCATTGTTATTGTAGTGAGTTAGTGTTGTTCTTTTTCCAAACACTCTGTGAGATATAGTAAGTTCTAATACACATAATGCGCATGTTAGCCATAGCCATGGGTGAGATTAGCCAGAGAGATCTCTTGCAGCTTGATGCTCAGACACTGTGAATAAATCCCTCTGATTAAAGGGAACAGAACTGGGACAGACTGGCTACCATGCAGCTTTAACGCGCTCAGTCATGTCTGTCACAAACCACAGGAATAAGAGTGTGTACAGTGACTTATGTGCTGCGTTTTCCTTTGAAACTTAAAAAACAACTGTGCTTGCATGATGAGCCTAGCAGGCCTTTTAGAGAATCCCATGGCTGGTTTCTTCTAAAGTAGGTTATGTTTCTGTGATCGGATGTGTTAATGTGTTGAGTAGTCTCATTATCTTACTCTAGAAGAGCATGAAAAGCCTCATCAAAAGCTGGAAGAAATCTGTTTTGAGTCTAAAAGTATTTGAGTTCAAGAAAAAAAAGAGTATAAGTAGATGTATTTCTGTAACTATACCAAAAATTGCACATTTAACTTGAAACTTTAGAAGGTTTGTGTGATGAGTGTGTTCACAAAAGAGGTTTTGCACAATTTTCATGATATCATTTCCAATAATATAATTATTATACTTCAGCTGGACAACAGGGTTTCAGATTGATGTTTATTATTAGCTATATTATTGCACTGTAGCATTTCATCTTAATTATCAAGAGACTACTGTTCACATAAGAGAGGTGAGTCATCAGGAGAACGAACTAGAATGAGCCATCTTATTCATGCTGCACTCTCTGACCCTTGTTGGCTTAAAGCATCTCAGTGCATCTTGAGTCAATTCCCCTCTGAGTGGTAAAGCAGAAACGGCACGAGCCACTAGTCATTGTTAATAAGAGTTTAGATTTTTGTTTAAACGTGATTTAAAAGAAAATTATATTCCTAGCATGAGACAGGAGGGGACAGATAAACCGATGCTTTTTAAACTGGATCCAACATGAACTCTAATAGCCTCTGACAGTCATTAAACAAAGGGGAGCTGGTCCTGGAGCTGTCAAGATGCAAGGACATCAAAGACATAGACAGGGCCTGTGCAGCATAAAAGTCAGATCTGTGGAAATTATATTATGAGGGAATTTGGATGTGCTCGGTGCCCTGTGTGCAACACAGTCTTACTTGATTCTTGAAAGGTACCGTTCGTTAGAGAGCCCTGAACAATACTGACACACTGTTCATTAGGCTGCTTTCCTCTCCTCGTGCTCAAGAGGCAAGACACAATACTTTGCAGAGGAAAAAAATGTTCCATCTATTAACATTTCTCTAGTGGCCACAATACCTGCCAGAGCACTCTTTATTGCTTTACACAGCAGCAGTCTTCTTAATAACCTTCAACATATTGTGGTGTGAATAAAGAGCCTCTGGATTACAAAGACTTTTATCAGAGGTCTATATTGCATCATATGGAGACTGATTTATTCTTAAAAAATGATCTGCGCTGATTCCTTCATATTTTATGACATGTTGAATTAGTTTAGTTTTTTTCTAGCAGTGCACCAAAATGACAAACACAGACATATACAAATATATATATAGTGTCTTTTTTTAGGTTTTGTTTTTTCTTCCTATTGCTAATAAATACTGTTATTATGTTCTTAAAATTAGGATTGAGGAAATTGGGAAATTTAACTTCTAACTTATCACAAATCCTTAGGTTTAAAAAGCTGGGTATCTGAACTTAAACGGTTAACTGACATTTTTATTTCATCTCCCTAAATAAACAACAGAGTTCCTGTTTCAGTGCTTCTTACCATAATGTAACTTAATGAAATTCTGATTTGTTTATGTTCAGCCTGTGTTTTGTTACCCAGGCTGTGCATATTGTGTTTGCACAGTGGAGCAGAAATGTTCACCTTCTACATGGAAGCAATAAGGAGCTTAAGCTAACAGTAAGGTAAACATGTTTACGCGTTCTTTGCTACAAACTTTATGGCCACATCACATCAGTGCGAGTCTTAAGAGGCTGTCAGGTGAACACTTCTAGCTCCAGCTCTACCTTACACAACATCTGAGGAGGAAGTTCCCTTCATTGCCCGCTTGGGTTGTGTAAAGCATCTGTCCGTGTCACGAGTGACACAGCCCAGGACCACCTGAGACAAACAGCATGTGCATTAGCCACATGTATCATCACATTAGATCAGCGAGCAGCTAAAAGAGCTTGCTAAGAGCCAGAGACATGTCACCCGTCCTATGTGTAAGGTGACTAAAGCTTAAGAGTAAACAGTGGTGTTATCTGTTTAAAGTAATGAGGTCTCTCACGTCCAGCGCCGCTTCACCTTGATTCTGTCTGTAGAGGCCTCTGAAGCTCTCTCTGCTTTCTGTCTTGATCTCATTTAAAAAGGTGCATTGTGTTAAAGAATGGAAAGCATGCAGATTATGTCTGTTATGTGCAAGAACTTAGAGGAGCTTATGGTGCGGGATTTCGAAGTGGGGGGGAGCATGTTTGGATCACTGGATGGAAGGCTGGTGGGCTACTTAAATCTTAAACCTCAATCTTTTCTTTGTCTCAGGGTGTCAGCAAGCAATAAGAATGACCTCTGTGTACCAATCTAACATGAGTTCACATTTAACATATTTAGTAATAGCTAAATAATTCAAACATTAAAAGAGAGAGAGAGAGAGAGCAAAGTTTCCTAATAGGCGTGAAACGTGATTGGTATTCTCCTGGTAAAATCTGATTTCGTGACTGATCGGGCCTTTAGGTGAATTAAAAAGACACCCCTTTCCCCCTAATGATGTGGGCGGTGCTGCTGCTCCTTTTCCATTTGCTGCTTTGGGTGAGCTTATTGCCCCCTCCCTATTTCTCAGTGCGGTTAAATAGCACGGCGCGCCACTCCACTGGGTAGACACCCCACTTTGCAAAGAGGAAAGCCAACTAAATAAAAAGGCCTGAAAGGGGAAAAACAAAAAACAAAAAAAACAAGAACAGCAGCACTTTAACATGTACTCAAACAAAATCGAAGGACCACGTAGAGGAAGATCTTTTGACTCTATGAACCTCGGCTTTGAAGAAAAACTGCTGAACAATGAGGTAAGAACTTCACAGAAAGAGAAGAAGGAGGAAGGTTTTATTATTCTATCTTAAAGAAACCCCTTTATCTTCGATCAAATCAATAGAAACAAACAAGATGAAGAACTTTTGCTTTGTTTTGTTTTTAAGTGACTTTTTTGGACAGTGGTGGGGAGATCTGTGCGGGTCATCTCATCGAATAAGCTTTCACTTTGTCGTCAGCGCAGATTAATTTAAGCCGTTTTGTTATACCGTAATTTACGTCAAAGAGTTAAGAGGGTTAAAGAAAGAGAGACATCTGAATTTGGTATGATAAAAGACACTTCAGTGCTCATGCTGAGCACCATTCGCAGACAGAGGAGATAAAAGATAAACCGATCAACCTGCAGTATGTGATGTCTCCAAGCACATGCAAGGGGAAAATAGAAAACGCTGACAGGTACTCCAGGACAATATCGCAGCTGCTTTAGACATGGAGATAAAACGAAAAACACACATGTTTAAACTGGAGTAAAAGAAATCAACGACGTTTAAGGCAGATTTCACAGCGGAACACGTTACTAAATCCTATTAAAGTAAAAGCTGGACAAATTATACCCCCATGCATGCAAATGTGATCACACCTGTTTTTAAAAAAATCTAACATTTTTTATGTTTCTCGTTTATACCCCTGGATTTAAAAAAAAAAATCGTATTTATTTCACAACTTTAAAAAGTAAAGTATTTGATGAGGGGAAGCGATGTTCTCCCACTTAACGGCCTAAAAAACGTGCGCGCTGTACTGATTAAGCGCTTCCCTAACGTGTGGCCAGATTTCAGAGTGGAGGGGAGCTAATAATAGGCTTCCCCGCTCTCCAAATGAGATTGCTGTAAGGCGATTCTTTGAGACAGAGACAAGTTCATCTTCGTTAAACCGAGACGCAAAACGTTGACCTCGGGCAGCGTCCTGATCCAGACTCCATGCACTAATGCTTTCAGGGATACTACCGGCAAGGGCTCACCGAAAACTGGTGTGCCGCGCGGTCTACACCATGTACGAAGGGCGAAATGTGGTAGGAAATAATTTAACTGAATTTAATTGTCTCACGTGAGGGGCGTGATCCTTTTAATCCAGTCTAAACGTTGGACTTTGGCATTATGTGCCTATTGTTTGATGACAAATTCGAAAGTTTTTGGGGGGGAGAGCGGGTTAATTTTTTTTTAAAAAATACCTCAATAAGCAGTATACAGGTAGAGTAAAGGAGAAAACTTTGGAGTCAATCAAAACAGATTAGTTATTCTGTGCTGTTGGCATCTTAACAGCCTCGCTGCTAAAATCTGAGGCAGGATTAAAATAATTTTCCCCTGGCGTGTGCAGCGCGCACAGGCACGCGTCAACGTGAGAGCGCTATCCGAGGTGCTGAACTGGACAAAGAAGTTGGTCAGCCTTAATCTGAGCCCTGCCTGTGCGCATGCACTGCACTTCCATTACTCATTTTTTACACCAGCGATGTCAAGAAAAAGCCAATGATTCCCTTTAGAGTAACAAATATACCTGCCAGTGTATGTTTTAAAGACTGACTGACTGTCTGCAACTCTTTATATTTATAGGATTATTATTGTTGTTATTTAGGATGGTTTTATAGTCTTAAGTAATTAGAAGCTCTGCATCAAGTCTGTGGATAAGTGCAATATGTAGACTTAATTATTATTTTAAAGCCAGTTTAGATTGGCTAGCAAACGTTCATTTGCTCCACTGTTTTTTTTCTCCCTATTATACACAACTGAATCTCTCTGTCTTTGTTGATCATTTTCAGATAAACAAGTCAACCTTCACCAAAATTGAAGAAAACAACGAAAAGAAGAATTCATCAGAGAAAGGGAGAGCGACAATCATCTTTTCCTTGAAGAATGAAGTTGGGGGACTTGTAAAGGCACTCAAACTCTTCCAGGTACATCCCCCAAACCCTGCTCCTTTTTACAGAATGACTTGATTGCGACACATTGTTAGCTTTGAAATGAATAAAGAATTCTTTTGTTTTATTCTCGCAGGAAAACCACGTGAACCTTGTACACATTGAGTCCAGGAAATCCAAAAGACGCAACTCTGAGTTTGAAATTTTTGTGGACTGTGACAGCAACCACGAGCAACTGAATGAAATCATCCAGCTGCTGCGGAAGCATGTGAATGTGGTGGATATGGAGCCTCCAGATAACTCCTGTCTACGCGAGGAAGGTGAGAAAGTAGTGAGTGAATACACTCCAGATGCTGAATTAAAGGTACAACATTAAATTTGAGCACCTTTTTTCTTCTGTTCTCAGATATGTATGAAGTACCCTGGTTCCCAAAGAAGATTTCAGACTTGGATAAGTGTGCTAACCGAGTCCTGATGTATGGATCTGAACTGGATGCTGACCATCCGGTACATTATCAACCTGCTGCCTCACTTCAGCAAATAAAACCAAACTCTCTTAAAATGAAGCATTCTTATATTTTTACGTTTCTCTTTATCAGGGTTTCAAGGACAATGTCTATCGGAAAAGGCGAAAGTATTTTGCAGATCTTGCCATGGCCTACAAACAGTAAGTTTTGATCTATTTAAATGTCTATTGTATTTTTAAAAAAAATCATGATTCTTATGGAGTTTTTTCTGTCTTTTTCCAGTGGAGATCCCATTCCTCGTATTGAGTTCACACAGGAGGAAGTGAAGACTTGGGGTGTTGTGTACAGGGAGCTCAACAAGCTGTACCCTACCCACGCCTGCCGGGAATACTTGAAGAACTTGCCACTGCTGTCCAAATATTGTGAATGTCGGGAGGACAACATCCCTCAGCTGGAAGATGTGTCACGCTTCCTCAGGGGTAAATTATCAATTTTGATTAAAATATTCCTTTGATTTAAATCATTTTGTTCACTTTTAGCGGTGCAATCACTCAATGCAATATATTTTCACTATCTTTCTAGAACGTACTGGATTTACCATCAGGCCTGTGGCAGGTTACCTGTCCCCCCGTGACTTTCTTGCTGGTTTGGCATTCCGCGTTTTCCACTGCACCCAGTATGTGCGGCACAGCTCCGACCCCTTGTACACCCCTGAACCGTGAGTACTAGCCAATACTACATCTAAATATGTAATCTAAATGTTAATTTTGGTTTTAATATTTGGTTTTCTTTTATTATTAAGGGACACATGCCATGAGCTGCTGGGCCACGTCCCGCTGCTGGCAGAGCCCAGCTTTGCTCAGTTTTCTCAGGAGATTGGTCTCGCTTCACTTGGAGCCTCTGATGATTCAGTTCAAAAACTGGCCACTGTAAGAGTCACTGCTGCAATCTTATTTTCAAACAATATTTATGAAGATATTTCTTTTTCAAAATCCAACAAGGTCGTCCTAATTGCTTGTGTTCTTCTTCTGGGTTGCAGTGCTATTTCTTCACTGTGGAGTTTGGTCTATGCAAACAAGAGGGGCAGCTGCGAGCTTATGGAGCTGGACTTCTGTCATCTATCAGTGAGCTCAAGGTAAAGACATCCAAACAGGATGGTAGGATGCTACAGTGGGCACCTTTACCCAAAGAGCTTTAAAAACACAGACAGAATAGTCTTTTTACGTTACAAACTTGATCATATTCCACCTTAGGACACACAATAAATAATCTTTTTTTGTTGAGAAAATATAGATGCACATTTATTAAATGATCAATTTGTGTTTTCAACATCTCCACTGTGTGTCTCTCTCTGACAGCATGCGCTCTCTGGTAATGCAAGGATAATGCCTTTCGACCCCAAAATTACATCAAAGCAGGAATGCATCATCACAACGTTTCAGGATGTCTACTTTGTGTCAGACAGCTTTGAGGAGGCCAAAGTCAAAATGAGGTGAGCTTAATTGTAAAGACTGTGTTGTAAAGACTACAACACTCAGCATTTAACTTATACATTATAATATATAGGTAGACCCAGCAAGAATAGCTGTAAGCTTTTTAAGCTAAACTGCTGATAGCATATTATTTAATATTGTGTTTCAGGGAGTTTGCCAAGACCATCAAGCGTCCCTTCACGGTTCGATACAACCCCTACACCCAGAGTGTGGACGTGCTAAAAGACACTCCCAGCATCAACAGTGTGGTGGAGGAGCTGCGACACGAGCTTGACATCGTCGGTGACGCACTCAGCCGGCTGAACAAACACCTGGGTGTCTGACTGCGCACAGTTCACATGGAGTTACACTGACAGTCTGTCATCCCCGGCACTGCTGTAGAGACGTTGCTTGTGTGTTGTCCTTTGCCAGTAACATGAATGTGTGTCGTTTTTTTTTTTGCAAAAATGTTCTATCGTCTCCACTGCATGGTTTATATAGCTTACACAATTTACAGGTGCACTAGGTATGTTTAGTCACTAACTTTAAGATATTTGACAAACCCAAAGAGCTGCTTAATCTGAGGTACTATTTGGCTTCTATATTCCAAACAGTTTCTGTGCTTTGATGGTACTTCAGTTCACTTTTGAAACACTTCCAGCTGTTACAGACACCTCCAATTGTTATTTCTGCTTTTGTATATGATTGTGTGAGTTTTCTTTTCTTTTTTTTGTAAATCATTTCATTCTTCTTCTTCATGTTTAATACTCCTCTCTTCAGTGAAATGTTTAAAATGTACCTTCTTTGTATTTGTCTTTTGGCGTGTGTGTGTGTGTGTAATATTCCTTTTTTGTGTGCTGTTGAGGGAAATTATGAAAGTGACACCTTTAACTAGCTGTTCTTATAAGAATGCTCTTGTGATTGATTATGATCGATTTGACCCATGTCAGCGATTACTTTACAGTGATGATTTTTAATACTTCCTCTTGAATTGAATTCAGTTGTAGAACTCCAGAAATCAAGACATTATTTTTCTACTGTAAAGAAATATAGAAATTAGAACTAGGTTATGAATCAAACAAAAAAAATTTGAATAAAAAAGTCATTTGTGTGTTTATAGCATGCCAAAACAGTTGTTTAATTGTTGATTTATTACTTTTATTAGTTTTTGTGGATGTAACTTTGTTATTGAACCCTGAGGATGCTGCTGCTGTTGATGATAGACATGCAAGATGATGGCAGCGAAGACTCTGAAAGTGATTATAACAATTATTTTGAGGCTGGAGTTTGCAAAATCTCAATAAAGTGTTGCAGAAAAAAATATGCCTTTGATTTGAGAGCCAGGACGCTTATTGCCTAATGAAAAAGTCCAACTGGGAACAGAACTTTCCAAGATAGGTAGCAGAAAAATCAATAATGACTCTTAAACGCATTTCGTGGACACGTGAATGGCGTCATACAATTTCATTTTTATTATGTTGTTATTATTATATTATATTTATATTATTTATTTATACTTTGAGGATCTGATGAATGAAGAAAATGAGAAAGAGAGTTAGTGAATCTGGAAGTACAAAGGATTATTAAGGAGAAAGAGGATGAAGACTGGAAAGGTGCTAGGTCCAGATGATAAACGTGGAGATAAAGCACATGCCAGGGTGCAAATAGAGGAACCGCACCAGAGAAATATGTGAGGGTGGCGCAGGACATCTATGAGGACAGCAAGACAGTGGTGAGGTGGGGGTGGGATAACATCAGAGACTAGCCCTTGTTGTTTTCAGTGGTTGGTGGGCAGACTGACAGAGGTCAGGCAGGAGTCTCTGTGGACAATGATGTTTGCAGACAGCAATATGATTTGTAGTGATAGAGCAGGTGGAAGACAGCCTGGAGAGATGGAGGTATGCTCTGGGGAGAAGAGGAATTAAAGTCACTAGAAGGAAGACAGAATAAATATGTGTGAACAGTGAAGATGCCAGGAGGAGAGGCAGCAAAGGTGGATGAGTTTGAATATCTGAGGTCAGTAATCCAACAGACAGAGCAGAAAACTTACTTTACTGCCCAGCTTAAGAAATTGGTCTGATTTAACACATCAAAACTATAGTTTCAAGAAATGACACACATAATGGTAGCTTATATTTAAAGGTGAATAAAATTAAAACTTAGGTAGCAGCATAATAGTGCTGCCCAGATTATTCTAAATTTGTCACCTGAAGAATTTGATCATTTAGCATTGAAGTTGTTTTTTTGTGAAGCTGTAGTCTCTTCTGCAGTGGCGTTACAATCGATACTGAAATATCGATTCCTCCATACCAGACATTTATGATCTAGAATTGATTCTCATATTAAAATATCAACATTTTAGTGATTTGAGGTAAATTTGTAGTTTATGATTAACAAGAACACATTGGAGCGTAACTGTATTATTGGGATCCTAGGAACTACTTCCACTACTTCCACCTGTCGTGGTGATATGTGAAATACGGCTGTATAAATGCATCAGGGCTTATGTGTGTTTACTCTCTCAATCAGTGATAATGGGTGATAGTAAGGCAAGTCACGTGTGGAGCTATTTCAGCTCCACAAACAGCCGAAACGTGGTTTGGCAAAACCACAAACCTTGTCGAACACAAACAAGTTAATCATAACACAGAATATGATGATGAGTTTATGTTGAGGTGAATAAAAAAAATCCACCCATTATTTTACCAGATATTATGTATCTGTATGTTAGATATTGTTAGATATTACATTTCTACAAAGTCATAACTTAGTTTGTAACTTTTGCCACTCATATATCCGTTTTAAGCGCCTTCGCGACAGTGTCGCAAAGCATACTTGAGTGTTTAGCCCAGATACTCCATGGAAACACACGCACGGTTGGAGTTTTGTTTACATTCTTGGGTAAGTTTGTTATATTGAACAGTACACTGTAAAAGTCGCGTATATCTGGTTGTGTAATTCCTTTATTTAAATGCAAGGAACAAAGTGACTCTTCAATTGGAAACGCAGAAGACGTAGCACTTTTGCTAACGTTAGCTTAACTAGCGTCCAAACTTACTGTCTTTACAAGTGAGGCGACAAAAAACAGATGTTAACATCTGGTTCACGGTCACCTGAGCACTGATAGTAGTTTTCGGTCTGTCATATACTTTTATTAAGCTGTGCTGTTATTGTCAGGGAGCCAACAGTTACGGGCAACTGAGCCAGGGACATGTAGAGGACCAGGCTTTGCCCCGGCTCTCTAACATTGCTGCCCTACAAAACAGGCCAGTCCGGGCTGTCAGCGGCGGTGGGGGACACTCCGTAGTTATTACCGGTACGTATCCTTTCGTCCTATATTAAACACAAACTTCAGCCCACCAGCGAATGATGTTTGTAGTCTGTTGTGGTATTGTGAGCAAGACCTTCATAAGTCATGTGGCGCCTCCTTCTGGCCAGTGAAATTAATTGTTTGTTTTTATATGTTGATAATCTGTTAATGCAAAAATTATGAATGATCTAACAGCAAACGGTAGAAGCAAACTTCCACTCAGTTCAGTCTCGTTTGTTTAAGTAAATGTCTAGAGTGAGTGTACAGGTGTAACTGTCCCAAAAATAACCCATCTAAGTAAAATCTTTGATTGTTTCCATGCTGGACAGAGTGTGGCCAGGTGTTTGTGTGTGGACAGAATAACAGAGGCCAGCTGGGACTTGGCCACAGTGGAGACATCGCAACTCTTCAGCACTGCCCCATCCTGAATCAGAGAGTCACAGACATCGCCTGTGGTTGGGATTTTACCCTTCTTCTCACTGGTGAGCAGTCAGCACCGTTTCCTACCAGGAATTTATCCTCATTTCTAGTTGTACTTGGTTTAAGGGTGATATTGCTAGCCAAACCACAGGTGTTTCTTTGGGGCAGGGATAATAGATCTTTTATGGCAATGTTAGTTTTTATTCTAATATAACATTTTATTATATTTGAATAATACAATAGATGAATTGTATATAGAGTGGCTGATAGAGTGGCTTGCAAAAGTATTCGGCCCCCTTGAACTTCTCCACATATTGTCACATTACAGCCACAAACATGAATCAATTTTATTGGAATTCCACGTGAGACCAATACAAAGTGGTGTACACTTAAGTGGAACGAAAATCATACATGATTCCAAACATTTTCTACAAATAACTGAAAAGTGGGGTGTGCGTTATTATTCAGCCCCGTTTGGTCTGAGTGCAGTCAGTTGCCCATAGACATTGCCTGATGAGTGCTAATGACTAAATAGAGTGCACCTGTGTGTAATTTAATGTCAGTACAAATACAGCTGCTCTGTGACGGCCTCAGAGGTTGTCTAAGAGAATATTGGGAGCAACAACACCATGAAGTCCAAAGAACACACCCCACTTTGCAGTTATTCATTTGTAAAAAACTGCAAAGTGGGCTGTGCGTAATTATTCAGTCCATACTTTGTAGAACCACCTTTTGCTGCAATTACAGCTGCCAGTCTTTTAGGGTATGTCTCTACCAGCTTTGCACATCTACAGACTGAAATCCTTGCCCATTCTTCTTTGCAGCTCCAGCTCAGTCAGATTAGATGGACAGCGTTTGTGAACAGCAGTTTTCAGATCTTGCCACAGATTCTCGATTGGATTTAGATCTGGACTTTGACTGGGCCATTCTAACACATGGATGTGTTTGTTTTAAACCATTCCATTGTTGCCCTGGCTTTATGTTTAGGGTCGTTGTCCTGCTGGAAGGTGAACCTCCGCCCCAGTCTCAAGTCTTTTGCAGACTCCAAGAGGTTTTCTTCCAAGATTACCCTGTATTTGGCTTCATCCATCTTCCCATCAACTCTGACCAGCTTCCCTGTCCCTGCTGAAGATAAGCACCCCCAGAGCATGATGCTGCCACCACCATATTTGACAGTGGGGATGGCGTTCAGAGTGATGTGCAGTGTTAGTTTTCCGCCACACATAGCGTTTGCATTTTGGTTTCATCTGACCAGAGCACCTTCTTCCACATTTTTGCTGTGTCCCCCACATGGCTTGTGGCAAAGTGCAAACAGGACTTCTTATGGTTTTCTGTTAACAATGGCTTTCTTCTTGCCACTCTTCCATAAAGGCCAACTTTGTGCAGTGCACGACTAATAGTTGTCCTATGGACAGATTCCCCCACCTGAGCTGTAGATCTCTGCAGCTCGTCCAGAGTCACCATGGGCCTCTTGGCTGCATTTCTGATCAGCGCTCTTCTTGTTCGGCCTGTGAGTTTAGGTGGACGGCCTTGTCTTGGTAGGTTTACAGTTGTGTCATACTCCTTCCATTTCTGAATGATCGCTTGAACAGTGCTCCGTGGGATGTTCAAGGCTTGGGAAATCTTTTTGTAGCCCAAGCCTGCTTTAAATTTCTCAATAATTTTATCCCTGACCTGTCTGGTGTGTTCTTTGACTTCATGGTGTTTTTGCTCCCAATATTCTCTTAGACAACCTCTGAGGCCGTCACAGAGCAGCTGTATTTGTACTGACATTAGATTACACACAGGTGCACTCTGTTTAGTCATTAGCACTCATCAGGCAATGTCTATGAGTAACTGACTGCACTCAGACCAAACGGGGCTGAATAATAACGCAAATCCCACTTTTCAGTTATTTATTTGTAAAAAGAAATGTTTGGAATCATGTATGATTTCCGTTCCACTTCTCATGTGTACACCACTTTGTGTTGGTCTTTCAGGTGGAATTCCAATAAAATTGATTCATGTTTGTGGCTGTAATGTGACAAAATGTGGGAAAGTTCAAGGGGGCCGAATACTTTTGCAAGCCACTGTATATTATCCTTAGACCATTATGATACATGTGTTTCTAGAAAAAGGGTGGGAAAAAAACTAACTCACATTCATTGCTATATTGTCAAAAAAAAAAAACCCTACATATTTAACAGAATGGGAATAACGGAGGACACCTTAACTACTTTCCACTCATCCAAAAGCGTAATTTTTCAGTGTGTCTTAGTTAAAGGCATATTTCTTTTCTTGTTATGGCACACTCTCAGACGGTGGGCAACTATTAGCATGTGGTTCCAATGCATTTGGGCAACTGGGTGTTGGAGAGACTGTGACACATTCAGCAGATCTACTGGTTGTTGAGGTGAGAACACATTGGGGGTGCAGTTTTTATAAAGTAAAGTTTTTAATTTATTTTTTTAAAATATCCATTCAATACATCTTGAGTGATCTACATTAGTATAAATGATCTTTACTTACCTGTCATCTTAATCACTTTCATTAAGGCAGATGTCATTGTGCTGTATGTTGACAGAATCTGAAGGAGCCACTAGTTAGTGTAGCAGCGGGACTCCGACA